GGTTGGGGTTGGGGGACCTGGAACTGGGGCCCGCCGGTTGCCGAGAACTTTTGGGCTCCTTCCTGGAGAGCTCCTGCTCCCGGTGTCCCCCCGTCCAGCCCCGTCCCCCCACCCGCCGAGATAGACCCGAGCGCGCAAGATCTGGCTGCATTGGGCCAAATGCTACCTGCATCCCGAGACCCCTCCCCACCCAAACCGGGCCCGGGACTTCGGGCCAGAAAGCCTCCCGCTCCCAACCTGATCCCGGGGACGAAGGGAGCGCAGCGGGAGCTCACAGTTTGAACATGCTCTCCAGGTCCTTGATGAGGCGGCGGCTGAACTCTGGGAACTCCGTGTAGGGGTTGAAGACCCTGCAGCGCCGGGGTCGCGCGGCGCCCTCGTTAATATCCAGCCGCCGACTCAGCTGGGCGCTCAGCTCCGCGTCGGCGCTGGCCGTGGGCGCACGGGCTGGGGGCTCGGACTCCGGGGCTGGGGCGCCGAGGGGAGCCAGCTGGGGGCCGCTCTCCTCGGCCTCCTCGCGCCGCAGCCGGCGCTCCAGCTTGCGCGCCAGCTCCTCGCTGGCCATGGCGGCGGATCGCAGGACGCGGGGACGCGGGGACGCGGGACGGGGCGCAGGGAGCTGGCGGGCGGCGCGCTCCTCGCAGTCTCGAGGTTCTACACCACTTCGCCAAGGCGGCGAGGACCCGGCGGTTGGGAGGGACTGAGGATGGGCAGGCGGGGCGGGCGGGGCGGAGCTGCGGCTTTAAGGAGGCGCCAGGGCTCAGGGACCGCCAGCCTGGTGGGAGGAGGCCGCCGGTGTCTGCGCGTCCCGGAGACCCCGACCTGCTTCCTCTCCCCGCGGCTCAGGGCGGAAGGCTGGCCGTCCCCCCGGGACCAGGCAGGGACCCTCGGGTCAACTCCGACCTTGCTGCCCCTGTCCGCTCCGGGGAAAATCGTAGCGGGAAAAAGCGTCTCCACCGTTCAGGCGGTTCCTTTCTCGTCCCCCAGCAGCAACCCAACTGGAAGCGCTCGCGGCCTGGGACAGGCTGGGTGGGGGAGGCGAGGGCCCCCGAGCGACACCCACGCGTCCCCCGCGTCTGGGAGTGGTGCCCACCCTCCTCGGGGTCAAGGAGTGGCAGGCGCCCGCCCGGAGCGCGGGGCGGGGGAGCTGCTTTTCAAACACTCATTGAAACGAAATGTTTCCAAAACATGCTAAAAATACTAAAAACAAATAAGCAAACAAAAAAGAGGGAGAGCAAAGGAGCAGAAAAAAACTCCCGTTTTCCCTGGAGGCAGGAGAGCAGCGCAGCTTCAGGGACTCGGGGTTTTTTGCGTGAAACCCACAAGAAAGAGAAGAAACCTGGCGCGGGGACTCACACCAGCAATCCCAATACTTGGGGAGGCCAGGGTGGCGGGATCTTTTGAGCCCAGGAGTTCGAGACCAGACTGGGCAACATAGTTAGACCGTCTCTACAAAAAACTTTTAAAGAAATCAGCCAGGCGTAGTGGCGCTTGTCTGTAGTCCCAGGTACTCAGGAGGCTGAAGTGGGAGGATAGCTTGAGTCTGGGAGGTCGAGGCTGCAGCGAGCCATGGTCAGGCCACCGCACTCCAGCCTGGGCGACAGAGTGAGACCCTGGCTCTAAAAATAAACGAAGAAGAAGGAGGGGGAAGGGAGGAAAAAAGAAAGGAGAGAGAGAAAAACGGCTTGAAAATTAAATCAGCATTTTTAACAAGAGGGTAAAAACATACAGTCGTCATTCTCCCCAAGGAAGGCTGATGCCGCTGTTACATCAGCCAAGCACTGAGAATCTTGTAAACACGGGTCTGTCCCCGCTTAAGAACGACGCTGCTTTGACCCACCGGGGGCTGATGACTGGGGCGAGTCAGCGACCTGCTGGACTGTGGTCGTCTGAGACCCAGGGACCAGCGTTTGGCATGCGAGTGCAGGGCATGCGGGGGACCTGGGTTAAAATGTTATTTTTAAAAAGTGATAAAGGAAAATACTTTTTTAAAATAAAAGTTTAAAAATCTTTATTTAACATTCATACTGAACAACTTGACTTGGTACGGAGAATACGGGTTTTACACATGCAATTGCAATTGGAGAACCCTGCAAATACATCACAGGGCGCTACACTTCCTGACCTGGTGGTGGTGACTAGGAGGTTGCCTTTGTTGTCACATCTGTTTTGATCACTTTATGTGACATATTTCAGGGAAAAAAGGTCAAAAATTTTTTGTAATTAAAATTTGTTTAATTTTATATTTTAAAAACTTTTTTTTTTTTTTGAGATGGAGTTTAACTCTTGTTTCCTAGTCTGGAGTGCAATGGCATGATCTCGGCTCACTGTAGCCCCTGCCTCCTGGATTCAAGTGATTCTCCTGCCTCAGCCTCCTGAGTAGCTGGGATTACAGGTGCCCACCACTGCACCTGGCTAATGTTTTGTATTTTTGGTAGAAACAGGGTTTTGCCATGTTGGCTAGGCTGGTCATGAACTCCTAGCCTCAGATGATCCTCCCACCTCGGCCTCCCAAAGTGCTGGCATTACAGACATGAGCCACCACACCCGGTTGGTTTTGTTCTTTTGTTAAATTTTCGTATTCCATTGAGCTCTTCTCAAGAAAAAGAAAGTTCAAAATTCTTAATAGTCTTTATCAGCAAGAAACTTTGCAGCTGGGCGCCGTGGCTCCCACCTGTAATCCCAGCACTTTGGGAGGCAGAGGCAGGTGCATCACTTGAGCCCAGGGGTTTGAGACCAGCTTGGGCAACATGGCAAAACTTTGGCAAAACTTTGTCTACAAAAAATGCAAAAAAAAAAAAAAAAAAAAAATTAGCTGCATGTGGTAGTGTGCACCTGTAGTCCCAGCTATCTGGGATCACTTGGGCCTAGGAGGTGGAGGCTGCAGTGAACCATGATCATGCCACTGCACTCTAGCCTGGGTGATAGAGTAAGACCTTGTCTGAAAGAGAGGGAGAAAGAGAGAGAAATTTTGCTTGAGTAGGTAACACAATTTTTTTTTTTTTTTTTTTTGAGACGGAGTTTCACTCTTGTTGCCCAGGCTGGAGTGTATGGTGCGATCTTGGCTCACTGAAACCTCCGCCTCCCAGGTTCAAGCGATTCTCCTGCCTCAGCCTCCCAAGTAGCTGGGATTACAGGCACCCACCACCACGCCCAGCTAATTTTTTGTATTTTTAGTAGAGACAGGGTTTCACCATGTTGGCCAGGCTGATTTTGAACTCCTGGCCCCAAGCAATCCACCTGTCTTGGCTTCCCAAAGTGCTAGGATTACAGGCGTGAGCTACTGTGCCCAGCCGGTAATACAATTTTTAAACCATTTTTTACATGCTGAAATTTACAACAGTTCATGTTAAAAAATCTAACAGCTCTTCCTATTTATGAATATAATGTTGAACATTTTTTTAATTAAAAATGACTTTTTTTTCCTTTTCTTTCTTTCTTTTTTAATTTAAATAGAGATGAGATCTCTCTATGTTGTCGATCTTGTCTGCCTAGGCTCCCAAAGTGCTGGGATTACAGGGGTGAGCCACGGTGCCCTGCCTTGAAGATTCTGAAATTAATAAGAGTGGATTGTGAACAACATTTCACTTTTTCATGGAAGTGTTTCCAAATGAGGGAGCGCTTTAAGTTAATGAGCTTGCATAATGTGAGCAGTCACCTGGTGCCTCTCAAAAGGCACATCACCTGCGAGGGGCAAAGACTGAGGGCTGTGTCCACCAGGCAGCCAGCCCGGATAGAATGCCCTCTGAGCTGTGTCCCACCCCTGAGGGAAAATAGCAGAGGCCCACAGTATTCACCAGGCAACACCTGGCCACCCTTCGGAATGAAGTGTTAGTATCTCACTAGTGACCATTCCAGGTGGTCACTGTTACAGCCACATCTCAAAGCCTGTTCTCCTTCTCCTCTTCTCCAGTGTCCAGTCGGGCACCTGACAAAGACTCAAACATGCTTGGTGGGCTGGCTGTGGTGGCTCACACCTGTAATCCCAGCACTTTGGGAGGCTGAGGCAGGCAGATCACTTGAGGTCAGGAGTTCAAGACCAGCCTGGCCAATATGGTGACAACCCACCTCTACTAAAAACACAAAAATTAGCTGGGCATGGTGGCATGTGCCTGTAGTCCCAGCTACCTGGGAGGCAGAGGTGGGAGAATCACTTGAACCTGGGAGGTGGAGATTGCAGTGAGCCAAGATCAAGCCATTGCACTCCAGCCTGGGCGACAGAGACCCTGTCTCAAACAAACAAACAAACAAAAAACATGCTTGGTGAATGATGGGCCAATATCAATCTTACTGTGCAAATATGACCCATGTTTTGTAAAACAAATGTCTATCTATGGGGGAAAAAAAACTAAAGGGGGCAAATTATTAACAGTTGTAAATGCTAAGAGTCCAGATAATTTTCATTTCCATTTTTTAAAATTCTCATTTGTGTCCAGGCACGGTGGCTCACGCCTGTAATCCCAGCACTTTAGGACGCCGAGGTGGGTGGATCACCTGAGGTCAGGAGTTCGAGACCAGCCTGGCTAACATGGTGAAACCCCATCTCTACTAAAAATACAAACGTTAGCCCGGTGTGGTGGCATGCACCTGTAGTCCCAGGTACTTGGGAGGCTGAGGCAGAAGAATTGCTTGAATCCGGGAGGCAGAGGTTGCAGTGAGCCGAGATGGCACCACTGCACTCCAGCCTGGGAGACAGAGTGAGACTCCATCTAAAAAAAAAAAAATTCATTTTTTTTGAATTTCCTACCATGAACATATCAAACTGTTATCAGAAAATGAAAGTTCTTGTCTACTGTGGAGAAGAGCGGAGGGCGGATGTTTTTGCTGTAGAGCAGCTGAAAATGTTTTGTCTGTGTCATCCCATGAGCTCATTTATTTCACTAACATTCTGGGGTGGCCACAGGAGGTTCTGCCTTTCCCAGGGAAAATAAAATCATTGTTTTCTCTCCAAGACTTCTTGTTCAGTTCTATTGCTGTGTAACAAACCATCCCTGAATGTAGCGGCTTCAAACATTTATTTTGCTCACAGATGTCCAATTTGGGCAGAGTTTTGTGGGGAAATCTCTGCTCTAATACACTTATAAAAAGCAGGGGGCTGCGCTAAGGCTGGAGGCAAGAACCACCTTCAGACTCCCTCCCTCACGTGTCCTAGGATCCGTGCCGGCTCCAGCTGGGCCCTTCACTGGAGCTGTTGGCTGGAACACCCACATGTAGCCTCTCCATGTGGCCTGGGCTTCCTCACAACGTGGTCACTGGGCTCCAAGGGTGGGCTTTCCAAGAAGAAGAGTCCGGTAGCAGCTGTATCACCTTTTGTGATGTAGCCTCAGAAGTCACATAGCTGAACTCTATCGGCCAAGCCAGTGACAAAGGGGAGGGACCGTAGTTCAAGGAGAGGGATCATAGACCCCTACCTCTCCAGGGAGAAATTGTGGCCATTTTTGGATATTATAATCTGCCTGCCCGCCCTCTGAAAATCCCTGCAGAATTGAGTCGGAATGGGGATTTGAGTCTCAAATCCCTGCAGAATTGAGTCCATTTCTGTGGCATCTTGACAAGAAAAGATTTCTCTTTCAGCCCTGATGGGTCAGTACAGGCCTCTGAGTCCTGTGGGAAAGTCTGACCTGCAAGTCACAAAGAAGTCAGAGTGAACTAAATTCCAGAAAGGAAGAGCAGAACCCCGGGGTTGTTTCATCCCCGGAGGTATTCCCTCCCACTTGTTTTTGGATTGTCAACTTATTTCTTGAACAAGTCAAAATTTCAGGATTTTGATTTGTTTTAGAGCAAAGGGTTTTGACTTTTATAAACATTGTTAAGCACTTCATGTCATGGCTGGGTGCAGTGGCTCATGTGTGTAATCCCAGCACTTTGGGAGGTCAAGGCAGGTGGATCATTTGAGGTCAGGAGTTTGAGACCAGCCTGGCCAATATGGTGAAACCTCGTCTCTCCTAAAAATACAAAACTTAGCTGGGCATGATGGCAGGTGCCTGTAATCCCAGCTACTCAGGAGCCTGAGGCAGGAGAATCACTTGAACCTGGGAGGCAGAGGTTGCAGTGAGCTGAGGTCACGCCATTGCACTCCAGCCTGGGCAGCAGAGTGAGACTCCATCTCAAGTAAATAAATAAATAAATAAATGTAAATAAATAAAACATTGTTAAGCACTTCATTTTGGTGCAGAGTTTTCTTTTCATGTTTCTTCCTGCAGTGCCTCTTTAAATTGTAAATATTCTGACATTAGATAGTGATGATGGTTTTACAACTCTGGAAATACACCAAAAACCACTGAATTGTGCACTTCAAAATGACGACTTTTACAAAAACAAAACAAAACAAAAAAGGATCAGTTTTATGATAAGTGAATTGTATCTCCATAAATCTTAGTTTAAAAATATAATAATAAGCCATTATATATTAACATAAATAATATTGATAAGAAGAGAGGCACTGTTTTACCTTTTTTCAAATGTCTTTTGCAAATGTCTTCTACATCTGGCTTAGTAGAATATAGTTGGATATCGCATCTGCTTCTGCATTTGATTTGTTGCAATTTGTTTTGCTTGAAGTATGTGAAGAAAATCCAATCTTCCACAGATCGCTGGAAATACAGTTGGATATATAGCTGAAAGAAGGGAGGTGTCATTTAATAGGCTTTTCAGATAACGGTGGCTATTCTTCTTTGATATGACAGCAAAGCTCAGACAAGTGGGGGTTTCTTGAGGTTTAGTTGCAATGTGGACACTGAAAGTACATGAACAAACTTTACATACTCTGTTTCAGAAAAATCTGTTGCTCTGTCTTGCACATTTAAGATCCATAACCTATGCAAATTTTTGTACCATTGGCTGTGTTGACACATTTTACTTACACAGTATTAAAGTTTTCCAAAATTCTAGTCTATTTTTTCCTGTTTGTGTTTTTTAAAGACAGGGTTTCATTCTGTCACAAAGATTAGACTACAATGGCATGATCATAGCTCACTGCAGCCTCAAACTCCAGGGGTTAAGTGATCCTCCTACCTCAGCCTCCCTAGTAGCTGGGACTACAGGTGTGTGCCACCACAACTAGCTACTTAAATATATATATATAGAGAGAGAGAAAGAGAGACGGGATCTCACTATGTTGCCCAGGCAGGTCTTGAACTTGGGGCTCAAGTGATCCTCCTGCCTTCACCTCCCAAAGTGCTGGGATTACAGGCAAGAGGCATCATGCTCGGCCCAAAATTCTAGTTTTTCTTTGAAGCTCACATTTTATTGTTATTAGAAAGTACTATCAATTGTTTACCTTGAAGTGACAGGCTCACTTTGTTCATTGTTCTAGAAAGTGTCTCTGAATGCCCAGCTGTGAATAGCCATGGATTGTCAGCTGTGCTTCCAGGCAAAACTGATGTTCCCTGAAAGGGAAGCTAGTTCAGCTCATAAACAACAGCACACATGCTTTTCTCAGGATGAGTAATGGACTTTGATCTGCAGCCCAAGGGCTTTCTGTTCACTTTCCATCCATTACACCAAATATTAAAAAGGTGTGTACATAAGGATCAAAATTTATAAATTAATTAACTGATTTTAGACAAGGTATGGCTCCGTCACCCAGGCTGGAGTGCAGTAGCTCAATCTCGGCTCACTGCAACCTCCAGCTCCCAAGTTCAAGCAATTCTCAGGCCTCAGCTTCCAGAGTAGCTGGGATTATAGGCATGCACTACCACGCCCAGCTATTTTTTTTTATTTTTTGTAGAGACGAGGTTTCGCCATGTTGGCCAGGCTGGTCTTGAACTCCTGATGTCAAGTGATCCGCCTGCCTTGGCCTCCCAAAGTGCTGGGATTACAAGCATGAGCCAACATACCCAGCCTCAAAATTTAATAAAATTAAAAACTATTTTCCTGCTTCATTGAGGGTATATTTTTTTTCTTTTTTTGGACACAAGGTCTTGTTCTGTCACCCAGCCTGGAGTGCAGTGTTGTGATCATGGCTCACTGCAGCCTCAACTTCCCAGGATCAAGCAATTCTCCTACCTTAGCCTCCCAAGTAGCTGGGACTACAGACATGCCACCATGCACCTGTCTAATTTTTGTATTTTTGTAGAGACATGGTCTTGCCATGTTGCCTAGGTTGATCTGGAACCTTGAGCTCAAGCAATCCTCCCGCCTCAGCCTCCCAAAATGCTGGGATTACAGGTGTGAGTCACCACACCCAACCTCAAGGACATTCTTAAATGCAATTAATTTTTTTAAAAATGAGGAGTGTATGATGGTGAAGAACACAATAACTCCTGGTACAGTTTGATGCCACTGCCTTAATTCAGGCTGAGGCGATGTCAGGTTTACCCACCATTCCTTCTGCATCATGGGTACAAATGTCAACACATTGAAAAAGGCAAATACTGTCTTAGTATTATGAAAATAGTTCTCAGAGGTACGTGGAGCACTTTGAGGAATCACTAATCTTATTTCTTTTATTGGCAGCTGAGTATTTTGTTCTCTGTGTGTAGCATACATTAACTAACCTGTCCTTGTTGGTGGACATTCAAGGTCATTCCTATCTTTTATTACCCACAGAGTATTGCAAAGAACAGGGGGTGGACTCCCATCCTAAGCGGCTTTTGGGTTGGAAGTTGAAAAATCTCATATATTCAGGCGTGCATCCATTGCTTCAATCAACAAATAGAAAGCTAGACCGCGTACAGTGGCTTGCCATGCACTTTGGGAGGCCAATGTGGGCGGACTGCTTGAGCCTAGGAGTTCAAGACCAGCCCTGGGCAACATAGCGAGATCTCATCTCTGCCAAAAAAAAAAAAAAGTTTAAATTCGCCAGGCATGGTGGTGCATTCCTTTAGTCCCAGCTACTCCAGAGGCTGAGGTGGGAGGATTGCTTGAGCCTAAAAGATCGAAGCCCCAGTGATGTGTGATTGCACCACTGCACTCCAGCACAGTGCAGTGGTGGAGTGACACAGTGAGACCTTGTCTCCAAAAAACAAACAAACAAGTATGAACCCAGTACCAGCAAAATAATACAAAATCCCTGCCCACATTCTAATGGCGGAAATGGATAGTCAACAAGATAAATAAAAATCTTAGTTGATAAGCACTAAGATAAAAATAAGTCAGAAAAGCGTTTAAGGGAAGTCTGTCGGGAGTGATGGGGCACGTTGTAATTTTAGGTAAAATGACCAGGAGGGGCATCATGGAGTAGCTGACATTTAAATCATGACCAGCAGAAAGTGAGGGGGTCTAACAGCGAATTGAGGGCTACAACAGAAACAATAGAGGCTGTAGGCGTGGAATTCCTCACTTTTTTTTGCCAGCCTCTTCTGACAATTGTGTCCTTTCCTCTAATTCTTTCCCTATAGATGTTTCTAGATAGCCCTCAATGACTTCACCTTTTCTCCAGGGATGTCTCCGCAAGGGCAAGTTTCAAGCCTTTGTTTACGTTTGGGAAACACTTACACAACTTTCCCCGGCTTGGCTGCTAGTGCCCAGTGGATAGCCCCAGGCACTAGCTAAATGGATTTCTCCCCATCTCTTTTATTAGCCAGATTGTGTAAATGAATCCCAGCAAGCCAGACACAAAGGTACCCCCTGGCAGAGGCCCTGGAACCCCTGTGTTGGCACAGCTGCCGGAGAAATTCCTGGCAGAGAATCAGAGAATCAGGCATCAAGAACGGGGGAGTTTTTAAACCTCAGACTCCAGGCGCCAGGCCTAGACCCACAGGCTCCAACCCCCAGGTGAGGCCTGGTTCCCAAAGCCCCCTGTCATCCATGTCTGTGGTCTTGGGGGCAAGCTGGGGCCGGGGGACTTTAGGGACTTGCTAGGGAGCACCCCCAGGGGGCCGATTAGTTCAGACCTGAGTTCCCTGGGTAGGCTCAGCTGCCCACAGGCTCAGAGAATCAAGAGACCAACAAAGGATTCCAAAAGAAAGAAAATATCAGTCTTATTCCTCACCCGACAGGAGCGGCAAAAATCCTACAGGGCTGGAGGGAGGGAGAGCAGACCCCACCCCCACAGCCCTGGGCATGGCTATCAGAAGACAACCTGCCCGGCCCCATCTTGTCCCCACCCATGCCCTTCAGGGGCTGGCACTGCCCTAGGAAGCTCCATCCTCCCAGCCGTCTGTCCCGACATCCGGTCAGTCAACTCTTGGTTCCAGCCCCTGGGGTGATTCTGCTGTCTCCTCCCCTTCTCTGCAGAGGCCTGCACACAGCTCTCACCTGGAGGGAACACAGGAGGCAACGCTTTCCTCTGAAGGAGCTCAGCCCTCTGCCCACCTGTCCTCCCCTCACTCACACAGGCAGGAAGGACTGGTCCAAGACAGCGCTGTCCAACAGAAATAGAATGAGCTATTTCTTTTCATTTTTTTTTTTTTTAAGACAGAGACTCACTCTGTCGCCCAGGCTGGAGTGCAATGGCATAATCTTGACTCACTTACAACCTCTGCCTCTCGAGTTCAAGCGATTCCCCTGTCTCTGCCTCCTGAGAAGCTGGGATTACAGGCACCTGCCACCACTCCTGGCTAATTTTTGCATTTTTAGTAGAGATGGGGTTTCGCTGTGTTGACCAGGCTGGTCTCAAACTCCTGGCCTCAGGTGATCCACCCACCTTGGCCTCCCAAAGTGCTGGGATTACAGGCATGAGCCATCACACCTGGCCTTAGAATGAGCAATTTCATTTGTAATTTTGAATTGAAAATTTTCTGGGCCAGGTGCCATGGCTCACACCAGTAATCCCAGCACTTTGGGAGACTGAAGTGGGAGGATGGATTGAGTCTAGGAGTTTGAGACAAGCCTGGGCAACATAGTGAGACCCCATCTCTACAAAAAATTAAAAATTAGCCAGGTGTGGTGGCACACACCTGTAGTCCCAACTACTCGGGAGGCCAAAGTGGGAGGATTACTTGAGCCCAGGAGGTCGAGGCTGCAGTGAGCCCTGATCGTGCCTTGCACTCCAGCGTGGGCAACAGAGCAAGACCCTATCTCAAAAAAAAAAAAAAAAAAAAAAAAGAAAGAAAAGAAAAAAGAAAAAAGAAAAATTTTCTAGTGGCCACATGCTTTTAAAAGTAAAGGAAGAAAAATAAAACAGGTGAAATTAATTTTAATAACATTTCATTTAATCTAATATATGTCCAACATCCCTACATGTAATCAGTATAAAAATATTAACGAGATATTTTACATTACTTTATTTCACGCCAAGGTTTTGTAATGTAGGGTGTATTTTACACTTGCTGCTCATCTCTATCAGACTGTCCACATTTCAAGCACCTGATAGCCACGTGCAGCTGGCGGCAACCTCGTGGAATAGCTCAGGCCCAGAAGGCAAACCGGAGCAGCTGCTGCCTCTCCTTCAACCCTCATTGGAGAGGACATCCCACCACCGAGCAGCTCTGCTCAGGCTTCATCTCTGGCCACCACTACTTCTCCTCTGAAACCTGCCCCCCTCGTTACTCCCTCCCTTCCCGCCAAGGTGTTCAGATTCACAAAAATCTGAGCCAGGCTCCAGGGATGCTAGGCCTAGGGTCTAAATAAATGAAACCCACCAGTTCCAGTTCCCAGATGTCTTCCTCCCCACCCCACCCCCGGCGAAATGGAGCCTCGCTCTCATCGCCCAGGCTGGAGTGCAGTGGTGTGA